TAGCGTTTCAACCGGTCAATCAGCGCAAAACTGCGGACACGATCCCCACTCGCTTCCCAGCCCTGGCCTGGATAGTAACCGTAGAATTCCTCTGGGCTGATATCGCCAACAATGCCTTCGTACACGCGCTCGGTTCGTGCAGCCACGTCCCGCCAGGAATACATCATTTTCACTTGATCATGAAATCGGTCCGTTCGCACTTTGTTTGAGCGCAAGGCCGTGATTGCCTTGCCGGTTGCTAGCACAATATCATCCTCTTCCGGCTTAGCGAACGTTGTCATGTGCTGGGGTAAAACTTCTGGAATGCCTCCAACACGCGTACAGACGACATAAAGACCACAACTAGCAGCCTCAACAATGACTGTCCCGAATGCTTCCGTGAGACTAGGATGGAGATAAATGTCACCTCGAACCATAACATCTCGAACCTCCTCGTGTCTGACCGAACCTAGAAGCTCGACTTTATCCTGAAGCACGTTGCGTTCCAGCATTTGCTCGAGGTCGATTGCTTTGGGTCCTGATCCTGCAATGATGAATCGAGTATTGGGATTGGAGGCGAGAATCCGCGGAATAGATGCAATGAGGAGATCGGTGCCCTTGTTGTAAAAAAGTCGAGAGATGACCACGATTGTAATCGGATCATCGGGTCCAATTTGTCTGGGGGACATGGAAGCATCGGTGGGAGAAGTCAGACTTTGATCAGGGCCACGACTCGTTTGAGAAAGAGGACAGAAATTCTCCGCCACCACGGCGTTTGGGATGACCGATACCATTAACGGATCCAACGAAGCGCGAAGTACTGTGTTTTCCTTGCTGCAGTTTTGTCAGTTGAGTCATGCCGTACGACTGCGGAAGACCTACCACGTGTGACTAACGCAAATCGCGTGATCAACATCACTTAAAGTGAATTTGAGCAATTTGTTAGTCAAAATTGATGCCGCGTCAGCGAATCCGAAGAGGGAATGGTCCGTGAAGACAGTCCGTAGTCCCATACTACGCGCATGGAGAATGGCTTCTGCACAGAAGCTACTCAAGCTGGCATGGCCATGAACTATCTCAATCTCCTCTCGGATGACGATGTTGCGGAATATGGGGAAGAAAGAGAAGACCGTAGGGAATGTCGTTTCACGGTAGACGACAAAGAATGGAACATGATAGATCTTCAGCCCATTGGTGAGGTAACGGACCCCAGTGCGTCCTTTGTACGCATGGGTAATAATAATGACTTTGTGCCCTCGATCGATGAGTTTCTGAGAAGGAATTAGAAAAAGTGCAGGTGGAAGGACGAGGTAGTGTGCTTACGGATGACAATTGGTATATGTGACTCTCAACTCCACCTAGATAAGTCAGAAGCTGTATAAACCGCAGGGGAACTGTTCAAACATACCTGATTGGGGGAAAAAGAAGTCACTGACCATTCTATAACCCGAGCGAGGTTAGCAAGTAATCGTGACCAATAGAACAAATAATACTGACGCGATGTTATACGGCATCGTGGCTTCTATTCTCGATGCAAGAGCTCCGAGGTTTCAAATCTGCTCTTGTAGACTTTCTTTCCATGGCGAACAGATCTGTTGCTCAAAACAACAGTCCCAAGCCAAAAGGAGATGGAAGCTGTCCCGATAAGCAGGGCGGTGGCTGGGGCGGTGTCTGGACTATGACTTCTGCCGGCATAAAATATTCAAAGAAAAGGAATTTGATCCCCACGAGCCATCCAGCGCCAACTTCGACATATTGGTGGAATTATTTGAGAATGGGGGGCAAAAATCCAGGACTTGAGTCCTCCAAGAAGGTCGATGTGACTCCTCAATCTACTCAGTCTCACAAGCGCAAGAGAGAACCTCATGGCCCTCAGCCTACTGCGACTACTCCCACACCTACGAAGAAGCACAAGAAACGCGAAAGCTTGTTGATCGCAGAGGTCACAGATGATGGCAGCATCAAGAAGCGCAAACAGCTCAAGGATGCGCTTTCAGGATCAAATTCCCCGGAGACATCCCGGAGAGAAATTATTCTCTCGTCAGGTCGCAGTAAAGCCACTGTTGCAGACTCGCGCAACGGCGTCAGCGAAACGGAAAGCAGGCCAAAAAAGAGCCAGCAAAGCAGTTTTGGAACGGGCGACACATTGGATGATGCGGCTGCATCTGTGATTACAGGAAATGATGCCGAAGAACTCGAAGCGCCGGGAGTCGAACAACGCAAATCGAAGAACAAGCATTCAGGAATCATGTCGAAGTTCGAGCGCACCAAGACAGTCTCTAGCGCCAAAGCCAAAAAAGTCGAACCGGAAGCCGTCGATGATGAGCCACCTGCTGTCGAAGCTGTCTACGCACAGGGTCTTGAACAGCTACCTCAGCCCGAAAACCCGCCCGAGCCAGAGCAAATTCCGACATATTCATCTCTACCCCCTGGCTGGCCAATCCGTTGCGCAAATCAGCCCGGGACACGAATAAATTTTCCGAGCTTGGTATCAAACCAGACCTCCTCAAAATCCTCGAACAACAGGACTACAAAGAAGCCTTTGCTGTGCAGTCTACAGTTATTCCCCTTCTCTTGAAGGGAGAGCAAAACCACCCTGGAGATCTTTGTATATCTGCGGCGACTGGATCCGGAAAAACACTTTCCTATGTTCTCCCCCTCGTCACCGCTTTAGCTCCGAGACCTGCCTCCAGACTTAGAGGTTTAATTGTAGTTCCTACAAGAGAGCTGGTGAAACAAGCTCGCGAATCCTGTGAACTATGCGCCTCTGGATCCAGACTTCATATCGGAAGCGCTGTCGGCAATGTGGCTATCAAAGACGAGCAGAAACTCTTGATGCGCGTGGACCAGGTTTACAACCCGGCTATTAAACAGCAACAGCGTGACGGATTGAAAGGAAACGACTGGATGAACTTGAATCTGGAAGATTGTGTGAGTGAGGCAATTGACTCTAACGGATCTCTTCCGGGTCACATCCAGCGATGTGAGCCAAATGTCGACATTCTTATCTGCACCCCTGGCCGTCTTGTTGACCACATCCGCTACACCAAGGGATTCACACTCAAGTATCTCGAATGGCTGGTGATTGATGAGGCAGATCGTCTCTTGAATGAAAGCTTTCAGGATTGGGTTGATGTCGTCATGAACTCGCTGAACAGTCGACAGGCCCCCGAGACCTTTGGGTTTGGTGGAAAGCTGTTGTCTCAACTTGGACTTCCAATTGACGCTAAGCCCCCTCGAAAGGTTATTTTGAGTGCAACGATGACCCGCGACATTTCCAAACTCAACTCGCTGCGCCTCGTTAACCCCAAGATGGTTATCATCGGGTCTGAAGATGCTGCTGAAGAAGAAGACCCTTCTACTATTCATCCAGATGCTCACTTTGCCCTGCCCCCGACTCTGTCTGAGCATGTCGTTCAAGTTGGCGACGGATCTCTCAAGCCGCTTTATCTGTTGCATCTTCTTCTTTCTCGCATTGAGATAAGTGGGGACAAAGCTGCAAGTGTGTCCGATTCTTCTAACTCTGACAGCTCTAGTTCAGATGATGACACTAGCAGCTCCGATGATACCAGCTCCGATGATGATACTAGCTCTGATGAATCATCTGATGATGACAGTTCATCCTCTGGGTCAGATTCGGAGTCAGATACAGACTCGGACTCGGATCCTGATTCTTCCGATTCTTCCGACTCATCTGACTCGGAATGCGATGACATGGAAGTCGTTGCCTCGCCCTCTCGTAAGACTGTTCTGGTCTTCACCAAATCATCCGAGTCTGCCTCTCGACTTGCACGTCTCATTTCGCTTCTGCATCCCGCGTTAGCGAAGCGCGTGGGAACTATCATCAAATCCAACAAATCCTCCGCATCTCGCAAGACCTTGACGGCTTACCGACAAGGTCGTATTTCAGTGATTGTGGCTACCGATCGTGCTTCTCGTGGTCTTGATCTGGAATCTTTGAGTCATGTCATCAACTACGATATTCCAACCAGTATCACTACCTACGTTCACCGAGTTGGACGAACCGCTCGTGCTGGCCGCGCAGGCTCTGCGTGGTCCCTGGTCGCCCATCGCGAAGGCCGCTGGTTTGCCAACGAAATCGCAGCCAGTGTGGATGGCCGGATCACCCGCACCTCCAATATCGAACGTGTCCAGATCAAGACCGACGCATTGGACTCGCTCAAGCCCAAATATGCCAAGGCTTTGGACAAGCTCGAGCAAGAAGTCAAACGTGGCTAGTTTAGCCTGGATATGTGTTTGCCATTTACTGTATTTTATGAGTGGTTACGTGTTCTGCATTCATAGCGTATTCTATCATAACCTGATCGCAAGATTTGCAGTCTTCTATTTTACGCACTCTCATTACAGGGCAGTCCTCCCCAAAGACCATAGACGTACATCGGCAAAACGGATATATTTTGTCCATTACCCGGCGGGGTTGGGACCTTGAGAACTACAACATGCCCACATGTGCGTTCATCCACCATATGAGCCCTCATTTCAGGCTGAATCTGGGCAAATCCTATCGTTCCTTCAGCGGGTGGCTTGAATAGCTTGTATAGCTCAGGAGGGGTTAATTCTGACATCGGGTCTCTTGAGATAGGAACACTTTCTATCAATCGTGAGCGCTAATCCTGGTACTTCCTCACTATTAGTCAAAACGAAGTTTGAGAACAGCACGTCTCCTGCCTACATTGGTCTAGATGTTCCCATTCACCTTCCCCCTTTACGGGCGACTAAGTATGCCATCGAAACATGAGGGTACCCCCTTGACTCCCTTGACCGCCAATGGAGCATATGATCGACAAACATCGGCAACCGAAAAGATCAGGCTAAATTGTTCATTGCGAATGTCTCTCAGATTCAAAATCCCGTCAGAAATCCCTTGGGATCGACTATGAATTTTCCAAACTGGGACCAAATGCGTGGGGGTACCTCTTCATGTCCCAGAATATAAGTTGATTCCCTCATCATGGGTAACGGTGTGTGAGAGTATCCGTCCTCAAAGGCAAATTTCTGCAATGCTTGTCATTTCACTACTCGCGGGGCTGGTGGCCTTCGTGCCGACTGCGTTGTCCCAGGACAACACCAGTTATGTAGACTATAATACCAAGTCACAACCGGATCTGTACCCTGAAACAATGGCAAAGGTCGATTTTTCTTTCCCGGACTGCTCTAATGGCCCACTCAGCAAGACGACTGTCTGTGACACCACCGCACAGCCCCATGACAGAGCCGCTGCCCTCATTTCGATGTTCACCTTTGAAGAGCTCGTGAACAGTACTGGAAACGTCATTCCCGCAATTCCTCGGCTGGGACTACCTCCTTACCAGGTTTGGAATGAAGCTCTTCATGGCTTAGACCGAGCAAATTTTAGCGAATCTGGGGACTACAGCTGGGCTACCTCGTTCCCATCTCCCATCCTCACCATGGCTGCCCTGAACCGCACCTTAATCAATCAAATCGGCGGTATCATATCAACACAGGGCAGAGCATTCAATAATGCGGGCCGATATGGGCTTGACGTGTATGCACCCAACATCAATTCCTTCCGCCACCCAGTGTGGGGCCGTGGACAGGAAACTCCTGGCGAAGATATCCACCTCTGTTCGGTCTATGGGTTTGAGTACATCACAGGCATACAGGGTGGCTTGGACCCAAAGAACCTGAAATTAGCTGCGACAGCTAAGCATTACGCTGGCTATGACCTGGAGAATTGGGACAACCATTCAAGACTGGGAAACGATATGAGTATCAGCTCATTCGATCTTGCTAGCTATTACACCCCTCAATTCGTCACCGCAGTGAGAGATGCGAGAGTTCATAGCGTGATGTCGTCTTATAACGCAGTCAACGGGGTTCCCTCATCCGCCAATTCTTTCTTGCTCCAAACCCTGCTTCGTGATACCTGGAACTTTGTCGAGGATGGCTACGTTTCCTCTGACTGTGATTCTGTATACAATGTCTTCAATCCTCACGAGTATGCTTCCAGTGCCTCGCTAGCTGCGGCGAAAAGTATACAGGCTGGGACAGATATTGACTGTGGGGCGACATATCAACTCTATCTAAATGAGTCGCTCTCTCAGGGCGAGATTTCCCGCATTGAAATCGAAGGTGCTGTCACTCGTTTCTATTCTAACCTTGTAAGTCTAGGATATTTTGATGGCAGCAACAGCAAATACCGAGATCTTGATTGGTCTGACGTTCTTGCCACCGATGCATGGAATATCTCATACGAGGCTGCCGTGGAAGGAATTGTCCTTCTCAAGAACGATGGTACTTTACCGCTGTCCAAGCACATCCGCAGCGTTGCATTGATTGGACCATGGGCAAATGTCACAACTACACTGCAGGGAAATTACTATGGCGCAGCGCCCTATCTCACTGGCCCGCTCGCTGCCCTACAGACCTCCAAACTTGATGTCAACTATGCTTTTGGAACCAATATCTCCTCTGAATCTACTGCAGGCTTTGACGCTGCTCTATCGGCTGCGAAGATGTCTGACGTGGTCGTCTTCGCCGGTGGAATTGACAACACCGTCGAGGCAGAGGGAGTGGATCGCGCAAACATTACCTGGCCTGGTAACCAGCTCCAGCTGATCGAGCAGCTGAGTAATCTGGGCAAGCCATTAGTTATTCTACAGATGGGCGGTGGCCAAGTAGATTCTTCGTCGCTCAAGGCCAACAAAAACGTCAACTCTCTGGTTTGGGGCGGTTACCCTGGACAATCTGGGGGTCATGCAATTATCGACATTCTCACTGGAAAGCGTGCACCCGCTGGTCGTCTGACAGTCACTCAATATCCTGCCGACTATGCTCTTCTATTCCCAGCTACCGATATGAGCTTGCGCCCCAAGGACAGCAACCCTGGGCAGACATACATGTGGTATACAGGCGAGCCAGTTTACGAATTTGGTCATGGGCTATTCTACACAGCATTCAAGGCCTCACTTGCCCATTCCCGCGGAAGCAACAATGGAGGTTCCTTCGACATTGTGAAGCTTCTCTCACGCTCAAATACTGGATACAATATCGTCGAACAAGTCCCATTCATGAACTATACTGTTCAAGTTAAGAATACCGGTACTGTCGTTTCTGACTATACCGCTATGGCCTTTGTCAACACAAAAGCTGGACCAAGTCCGCATCCCAACAAGTGGCTGGTTGGTTTTGATCGCCTCGGTGGAATTGAGCCACATGCCACTCAGACCATGACAATTCCCATCTCACTGGACAATTTAGCTCGTACTGATGAGGATGGTAATCGTGTTGTGTATCCCGGCAAGTATGAACTTGCACTGAACAATGAGCGTTCGGCCGTGCTGCTCTTCACTTTGACCGGTGCTGCGACCACGATTGCTACTTGGCCAAAGGAGGAGCAACTTGTTCTTCGTTCGTGAATTGTGTCTTGCGTCTATTTGTATTGTAGTTAAATACTATATATACATACAAGTTCATTATTTGGTGGTTAGGAGCAACAAGATAACGCTCGATCAAGAAATGCCTCTACAATGAAATAAATAATAACAAAGGTTAGTATAGCTGTATCGGCCTTTTCCTCGTTATCAATACAAGTGTAGACGGCCGCTTCTGCGGCCCTACGATGTCTTTCTTACAGGGCTTTTTAGTGGGCTTTTCAGTGGTCTTTTCAGTGGTCTTTTCAGTGGTCTTTTCAGTGGTCTTTCCAGTGGTCTTTCCAATAGCTTTCTTAGGGGGTTCCTATTTTTTCTTAGATATCTTTAAAATAGTTTTCCCTTTTCTAGTCTATTTAAGATAGCGGAAAAAGGCGGAAAAAGCATACTCTATGTAAGCGATTGTTCTATATATAGCTTCTGATGATGATGATGAAATACATAACTATATGGTAGGTGGAGATATAGCGATGTTTGATGCCAGTCTCTTCTTGATCAGTTCTATGATCCCGGAAATAAAGACAAAGCCTTGAAAGTTGGTTGGCACTTACAAGGATTGTTGGAGCCACGTGGAAAACCCCCCAGATATTGTAGATCCCTAGGTGGAATGCAGACAATCGGCTGTTATAGAGGGTTTTTGAAGAGACAATAGAAGGCAATAGATGTCCGATCTGCCTAAAACAAAGGCAACCCTCTAGCAATTTCCTTTCAAGCACTACTTGGTTGATTTCAAGGCCTCATAAGACCATAAAAAGTCCTAACCCCTTATTCCTGACTTGTGATATCACTAGAATTTAGGACTAAACCTTCATTCGTTCATAAAAATTCGCATTGTTGATCCTAGTTATCTGAAAGAGGGTCAAGTATTATTGATCGCCTGATTTCCGTCATTCTTCCTCATGGCAGTATTCCTTGAAACAGACTGTATTGCACGAGGAAAAGCCCGGACCCTTAGTTGCTCCCCTTTTGTATCCTAAGGAGCGAGACGACCTCACGATGACCTCTCGTCATGGCTGCTCGAAGGGGCGTTTTGTAAACACCTGCACGTATGGTGTGGTCAGCGCCTCTATCAAGAAGCATTTGCACGATTTGTATATTTCCGAGCGCTGTGGCTGCATGCAACGCAGTGCCATGTAGTCTACCACGACCGTTAACGTCGGCGCCGTTGTTGAGTAACATTTGTGCTATCTGGGATTGTCCTTTTGCAACAGCAGCAACTAGGGCTGTTCCCAGCTCATGTTCCGCATTTATGTCGGCACCACTGTCGAGGAGCATTTGCACTATTCGTTGCGCCCCATTCATCGAGGCCGCTATCAGTGCATTTCCACTGGCTCCTGCTTGTCGATTGACATCAGCGTGATGGCTGAGCAAAGTGTGAACAATATCTTCCTGGCCCTGGAATGCTGCTGATTGCAAAGCGGTGTCAACCCCAGTTCCTTGAGAATTGGGCTCAGCGCCCTTTTCAAGTAGAAATTCCACTAGTCTCCAGTGGCCTGCCGAAGCGGCAGCTTCCAATGGACTACCATAGAGCTCGCTTTCGGTATTTATATCTGCTTTGCTGTTGACAAGGATCTCCGCAGTTTTAAGCTGGCCCTCATCACACGCTGCGATCAAGGCACTTCCGTACCATCTATCTGGGGCGTCAACATCGGCACCCCACTCAAGAAGAAGTCTGACGATAGCATCTTTTCCATACTGGGCGGCTAATGCAAGCGGGATATCGGGGTCCTGACTCGCTCCATTTGGGTCCGCTCCATGGGAAAGAAGTAACCGGACGACATCTGAACGGCCCCCTGAAATCGCATATTTCAAAGGTGTCCAACCACCATTATGAGAAATGTCCACAGGGTGGTGATTTTGAAGAAAGTATAACACTGCTTCCTCAATCCCGCGGTATGCAGCGAGATGTAGCCCCGTCTTTTCCCTTGGAAAATCCTGGCTCCAACCTTTCTTTGAGAGTGAGGGCGTCGTAACGTGGATCGCTTGTTCTGAGGCAGCAACTTTTGGCTGATCTTTCAAGAAATCTATCACATCAGGATGCAGACTGTTCGCTGTTCGCACATGGTCGCTCCAATGGCGCGCCGCATAAAGGTAAAATGGATGTGATTCTAAACGCTCCTCGAACGCTTCATCACTTTCGCAAATCCCAGATCCAAATATTTCAAATGAAATGTAAGTGACACACAATATGCTGATTGTATCTTGGGCGTTGGGAAACAGGAATTCCTTTTTCCGCTCGAGGTATTCTTGCGTCGTATAATGAACAAGACGAATTATTCCGCTTTCATTTTCGACGGTAACAAGACCAGCGCACACAGCAAGTATGTCTTCAACTTCTGGTTTGTTCTCTTCATCGATGCTAGATTCCCCTTCTTCTATTGCGAGCGCATACTGCAGCTCCAATGAGGTGAGTGGCCTTCTTGCGCATACGAGCCAGGACAGAGTTTGCATCGCCAGGTCAGTCTGCTCTCCTAATTGACCCTGAACGCGACTGATGGCGTTCCCGTAAGCCTTATCGTATGTATGGTCATCAAATCCCTTTGAGAGCTCTTTCAGAGCGGCTCGGGTAGATTTGGCTGACCTTCTCCCAATCAACGACTCTAAATGAAGCTGTGCAAGGAGGAACCTGGGGGTAAATGAGCCATTCAAGTCTTGAGCGAGAACACAATCACATGATGGAGACTCACATTCCTTGTACGTGACGTGAGATCACGACCATAATTTCCTCTTGTAATGTACGATTTCGGCTCACAAAGCCGGGGAGTCGGAACATATTACCATCAAGATATCTTCGAACGTCGTCCTCATGAGCCCGTATCTCTAAAACGTCGCCATCTTTAAACAGGTCATGTATCTCTGTTGGCCTTGATGTGGCGAAGACATTTGCTCCAGCACCGGCACGAACCCTCATGATTTCACGCAAAAGTCTGGTGCGGCAAGTATATTCGCACTCATCGAGGGCATCGAAGACAATGAACACGTCGGAATAGAGGGAAATGACTAATTGCAGGGCCTTCGATATTTCATCGAATCTCGGACGCGTCGGTGTATTATGATAGCGCTTATAAAGGTCTTTCACGGCGTCTGGTACGGCTGCTTTCTGCTGGCTCAGCTGTCTCAACAGACTTGAAAGCAAGTCTTGAGCATGCTGTTCATCTCGTCGATTAAAGTTGCAGTATATATAGGCTATGCCGACATCCGGTCTATCCTCAAAGCGCGTAAACAAATCATCCACGATAATAGCAGAACAGATGGTCTTTCCTGCGCCTGGAATACCCGGACAAAGCAATGTGGCGTGGCGTGTGCGAAGCCAATCTTTATATTCTTTCGAAGTTAGAAGCCATTTTCCAGTTCCTTCTTGTCGTCGGCCAAGAAGATCGCTCTGTTGCAACGTGTAGTCAACGGTAGACAACCAGTCAAGAACACAAGATTGCTCGTTGTTTTCTTGTCGGTGGTTGAGCTGTTCTAGGGTCTGTCTCATTGTAGCCATGGTTTGACTACTATTGATGTCAGATATTTGTCTGATCCAGTTGCTTTGGATTAGAAAAGAGAGGTATACAATACCTTGTTATAGCATTCAGAAATGACTGGAGCAATGTCACATTGGATATTAAGCGGCCTCGAAGCTCGCGTATATCTTCAGGCTCCCAGGAAATCCTCTTCCAAATACTTCTAGCTTTTTTGTGGATCGAGGTCCCACAATACTCAACCACTTTATATTTCTCCATGGCATCTTGCAGCTCATTCAGCAGGATCACACAGCTGCGGCTAATAACCTCTAGTTTCCTTTGTTGGTGATTGTTGATATCGTTTCCCGTTAGTTGAACGTCGACGTCTTCAAGGATTATTACTAATCCTCTTACCCTGGAGGTGTACGGACGAACACATTAGTTCCTGGCCAACGATCTAGGTGTACAACATGGACGCACTCTCTGGAGATACTGTTGAACTGGCTTGGAGCGCCAACAAAATCTCTTCGGAGTTTATTAGCCAAAGCAAGAATGGAAACAAAGTCCCCAAAGCTGAATCCGAAACTCATCACGGATATTGCTATTCGATTTTCGATGTAAGTAGCAAGAATATGATGAAAATGATAGGGTCTTATATATAGAGTCTTAAATTTTTCTCACCTTACCCCAATTTCTAGGCGATCCAGTGATTTAGGCGTTAGTTGGCTATTATTAGATACGACAAGCTGCTTCTTGCATTAGCGTGTGTGGTGAAAAATACTGAGAGCCAAGTCCTGTAGTACTGATGTTTGATACCGTCGAGTTTCATGTAGAAGTACAAAGCCCAAAGTCAATTGAGATTATTAGAGCCACAGGTCAAAAATACATGCTGGCATATTTGGAACATGTCCAAGTGACAGGACGAAAGTGAAAGAAATGATATGAATGCCTATAGATTCAGGCCAACAAATGCCAATTCAGGCATCATTGCTGACCTCAGGATGGAGTGATATCATTGGCTGGTCCCTAGGATCTCCGATAACTGTCAGAGAACCCCCCGCAGTCGGCGAAGCGCCGTCCCTTTTTTTTTACGCGTTTCCATAATAACAATTCATTTTCTATTTTCATGTCTTGCTAGGGACTATGAGCCAGAGCTCGCCCAATGCTCAGCCTGTACCGGGTCCTCCCTTCCGTAGCAACTCGTTTGCTCCGTCATCAGTGAGGGGACCTTTGGCGGGAGGTCGCCAGATCACCCGAAATCGGGCAAGCTACAGCTGTCACACATGTCGGCGTCGGAAGGTCAAATGCGACAAGGTAGATTGATCCGATTGTCGCCAATATCGATGCTCACGTTTCAATCTAACAATTCTATCCTTCTAGATACATCCGATATGTGGGAACTGCGTGAAGAACAATACCAAGTGTATATATGATGTGTCATTCCACAAATATGACGATGGACGTGATGGACTTGATGCTTCCTCCCGAAATGTACAAGGCGTCAAACGAAGGAGAGGGCTGCCCCGGTCATTGGAGGAGGATGTCGACGAGCTCCAGTCAATTTACGGACACTTGAGGCGGGCAGAGTCGACAGGTGAAAGACCTGACCCGAGCGCCATTGAATCACGACTTGACAAGCTTATGTCAATGATTGAGCGCCTTGGGGGGAGCAACCAACCCTTTGAAGATGTGGGGATGCAAACAGCAACCGCAGATGTGAAAGTGGAACCAACACATTTAGATGACCCACGGTCGAGCGATGAATTGAACGGAAACAAAGCACAATCAAGATCTACCAGTCCACGTCGCACTGCCACAGAGTTGAGCAGCGATGAGTTTCCAATCCCATCTGGTCAGGCGACTGATTTAGTAGACCCAGTTGGCAGTCTGAACTTGGGCCATTTGAGCCTAGAGGACGGCGGAAAGTCAAGGTTGGTCAAACTTACTTCATTGGAAGGCCATTGGAATGTTCTAACTATAATAGATATGTTGGCACCACGTATTGGGCCTATATCTCTGGCGAAGTATGCCCTTCACTGGAATTTCCCACTGATAGACACCTCTGACTAACTTGCATCTAGATCAATGAACTCAATCAATTGTTGAGAGACCAAAATAATTCACATGAGCAGTCTACTCCGGAAAAGAATAATGAAGACATCGCAGATTCGCATGCCGATGGTCGACAGTCCTGGAGACAATCGATAGGCAGCTCGACACCTTCAATTACGCCTGGGTCATGTTCTTTTCAACAATCCATAATCTTCCCTTCGGGTGACTCTCCCTCGGTCAATGAGAAGGCGGTGGAGCCAGAAATGCTTGATCACATACCGACGAGACGGCAAAGCCATATTCTCTACAAAGGATACATTTCCGGTGTACATGCCATCAGTCCTATCATTCACCCTCCAACTATTCTCAAACTCTACAATTCCTTCTGGCATTGGTATGACTGCAGTAGCTATTCTGGAGAACCATGTCCGAACCCATCATTCATTCCATTACTGTACGCCATATGGTATGGTGGCTCGGTCACGATTTCAATGCGAGCAATCAAAGCTGAATTCAACGTGTCGTCGCGGTCAGCCCTTTCAACAATTTACACGGATGAAGCTACGAGATGGCTTACGAATATCAAATTCCCACGTAGCCCTTCACTTCAAGGCCTTGCTGCTTATCTCATTGTACAGACAATCGTTACAAAAGAGGAAGAGCCTCTGACGAGTAGTCTCTTTGTCAGCCTTGCGATGAGGGTTGCCCAGACTATGGGTCTACATCGGGATCCAGCTAAATTCGGCATAGAGCCATGTGAAGCTGAGTACCGGCGCCGATTATGGTGGCATATCATGCACATGGACTGTGTCGTCGCAATGTCAAGCGGCCTGCCTCCGCTTGTTAGTGACGAGAATTATTGGGATGTGTGCGAGACGAGCGAAATGAAAGATACGATGCTGGGTAGCCCTGCTGCAGAGTCATATATGAAACTGGTTGCTTCACGGGAGCGGCCACCCGATAACCCAGATGATCCCACTGTTTGTGGCGGGCCATCAATGGTCAACGTGTATTACCTGACCGCAAGAGGGAAATACACTATGGCTCGTAGGTACCCTTTTTCGTTTTAAACCCCATCCACTAATTTTTACCAGGCGCCATTCGCCGAATATTGAAGATCCAGCTTGGAACGAAGCCACTCACCAGGCAGGACATGGAGGAGCTCCGATCCATACTCCTTGATTTGCAACTGAAGCTGAATTCTATTATCAACAGGATTCCAGAGGAGAAGGAAGTTGATAACATATCAACGCCAGCCCGAGCTTTTTCCATGTCCAAATCCCCAGCCGATGGTCCCTCTTCCGACACTGAGCTTCCAGGCGAAGGTTCCGACGGATGCCCAGAACAGTATCACTCACCAGTTCTTGTTTTCTTCCATAAATGGGCGAAAATCATTCTTTCGTTGTATATTGACAAGGTACGTTTTCTCGGTTCTCATTGATTCCGTACCAAACTCACATTCTTTTAGGCCTTCTGCGTGGCCTATCAGCCTTTTCTGAAGAACGCTCGCAGCCGGATCTGGCCAGCGGCACGCCAGAGGTTTGCACATACCACCGATCAATGATTATAGGAGTACATGTGCTAATGTTGATAGTGCACTTCGCCATTGCCATGGTTTCATGGAAAAGTTCATCCAGCTTGCAACGGATCCTGACTTCCAGCCATTCCATTGGAGCTGGCCTGGGTAAGCTCGTCTCCTAGTATGGCGGGCAAGAACTACGAGCAACTGATATTTTTTCTTAGCAATCATCAACCAATGCATGCTACTATGTAGGACTCCGTTATCGGGTGTTGGTAATGTCGCTAATGAGATGTAGGATCATGCTTATTGATTTATATGAGCGACCTTACAGCCCTGAAGCATCCAAGTCCCGCGCGTTCATCGATAGTATACTGGCACTTTCTGGCCCAGATGGAGGCGTGGTAGGCGGTGAAGACGGCGTCTCAACACAGCGGCCATTGAAGGATGGTGGCCGTGAAGCCTGGGATATGATCCGCCGCCTCCGCCAGAAGGCTTGGCAAAAGGCTGGCCTTAATCCTCAAATGCTCTGGACCGAACAAGACCAGATTCTAGCTGGGGTCACTTCGCCAGTTGACCCTCGCGGGGATTGTGAACTTCCTTGCTCAAGTACTTCTCGCGACGGGTCTCCAAGTTTAGTATCAGCCGGCCATTCTTCGGTGCACAGCTCTCAAGCCAACAACTTCGTCAAAACATTCTACAGCTTCCCCCATTCCCACACGTTCTCGGACTCTGTTACCCCGAATGCTACTAAAAGCCCCCTACGACACCAACACCAACTGCAGGACAAAGCCTTACCCTCAGTCTCACTTTCCCAATTCCATCCTAACCCCACCGATAATCCCATACCTCCCCGTATTGGTGCCTCCTCGCCCAATAGAGACTCCCTATTTGGTGCACCTCCACCAACACAATCCCCTGCCCCCCTCTCTCCCGCCCCACAAGTTCGGCATTCAGTTCCTACTGTTTCTGCTACTAGTAGCACCTCCATCGTGGATCCTGCTTCTCCCAATTTCATAACCATGGCGGTTCCTACACCGCCATCGATGGTTGACCCCAACCTCAATTTCGACTGGGACCAGTGGGATGCGGTGTTCGGGCAACATCTGCCTGTCGCAGACGATCTGATGGAATTAGATCCTGTCTCTGGTCTTGATTTCACCCATGTTGGAGGTACCTCAACATTTAATGGAGCTAGTCCTGTCGACATCCCTTCTTCATATGGCAATGGCCTTCCACCTCCAGCCTCCTCCCCAGAAGGGAATCTCCCTTCATGGAACGGGGAACAATGGAGCTGATTGGCTGGGGTAACCTGAGTCCGGATACTTACATAGTGTGAGACAGGATTATAGATGATATCTCCGCAAATATATACATCCACATCAATATTTGCGGCGCTTTATTCGTATGTGGGTTGTATGTGGCATGAGACTGTCTTTTTGAGAAAGAGCAGGGGGGTCGACGGTCGTCAAGTCCACATATAAGAGTGTTACTGGTAACTATGAGCATTGGACCATTGACGGTGAAGGTTGACTACATAGCACAAGCCAAAAAAAAAAATAAGAAGAAAATGAAGACATGACAGATGATTTCATGAAGCGTAACTCTTGAGGATCTGATGGATCACTAACTCTGGATACAAAAAGAAATGCGAGAGGGTTATTAGAACAGACAGGCTCAAGGAAGGGGAATAAGTAGCCGCTGCATCTGAGCTGTAACTCGCAATTCTTCCACCAAAAGGTATTTGTTCGTGTAGGGTGCGTGTGTTTTTACGATCGCCTATCTTAGGATGACAAAAGTTGCTTAAACCTTGATGGGCTTGAGACCGTCGGCCCAGACGGTAGCGTAAGGGGTGACACCATCCTCACGGAAGTCAATCAGGACGTACCTAAGAACGGGTTAGTCGGATATACCAGGATAGCAAGATCTGTGAGCTTACATGGCTGCGCCGTCGGTGGACTGGCCCATCATGACATCGTAGTTGTCCCAGTTGGCAAGGATCTTCTTCATAGCGCCGGCGGCCTTGGTCTTCCATTCCTTCTCAGCATCTGCGGGCTTCTCAGCGGCAGCGAACTTGGGCATGGCATTCTGGTGGAGCTTCTTGAGGTAAGCTGTATAAAAGAATTTGAGTCAGTGATTTGCGATCGAACAGTGAGAAACGGCGAACGTACGCTTCAAGTGACTCTTGTAATCTTCCTTGGAGGGCTTGGCACCATCCTCAGCTTTGAGCCAGACCAGACGGAACTGGTCCTCGATATCGTGGACCATAGTGGCCTCACCCTCGCCACCTTCCTCCTCAGCATCCTCAGCGGAGGGGTTGGCACCCTCGAGCTGGAAGTCCTCGTTGGCACGCTTCAGGTACTTGCGGCAGTCGCACTCCCACAGAACATCGAAGTCCTTGTTGGGCACGAGGTTAAAGGTATCGGCGACGATCTCGTCACCGGAAACGATGTCCTAGAATTTTTGTCAGTTTGAATTCTTAGAAAGTATATCTGTATATCAAGAGTTCAAAGATCTGAGACACATACAGTGTAGATAATCATTTTGACGGGTATTATATTTTTGTTAACGAGGGATGTAAGGGAAAGAAAAAAAGATGAGGGAAGAAAAACACTTTTAAGGTGGGGGGGCGAGGTTTTTCCTTTAAAAAAAAAAAAAAATAGAGCGGGGGGTGTTTGTTCAGTTTGTACCCAATGGGTATCGGGGAGTCTGGGCCACCGCCACTGGCTCTACTGTAGCGTGGTATCTGGTACTTCACAGTACTTCGTGTTAAAACAATATTTCCTAGGACATAGTCGACAGGTATATCAAATAACAAAATCTCGGGACTACAATCAATTGGGAAGAGAGAATTCAATTGAACCGATGAATCCTTTTCTGTCCCCATCAGAACCAATTTACTGCGACTGAAGAACTGTGCAAAGACGAAGTATAGAGCTGAGTCATCAATTTATGCATTACCGTACCATACTGTATGGTCGTCCAGTTCTCGGTGGTTCTTGGTGCATGTCTGCCGTAATACCGTTCACCTCTGTATTGGGTCTTGGCTCCGGCTCGCGCCACCCGAATCCGTCTCCTGATCGGATCTGAACGTCTAATCTTTTATATGCTTCGGGCATTCCTATTCTTTCCTTCATCGTTACCTGATTCCCCCTTTTTCTTTCCTTGTGGCTTGTTTGGTTGTCTTTGGTCGTTAGAAATTCTGCGTCGCGCCTACCCGTCAGCTTCCGGATTTGGGCGTGGGCAGTTGCGACCTTTTTCTTGACCTGATTTCTAACCTGGGGGCTTATCTCAAAGTTCATATTAATTCCGCCCCATCTACAGGGCTTCTTTCTTGGATTCAAAAAAAAAAAAAATTCAAGCCAATCTTCCGTCATGGCTGTGAATGCATCGGTCGCGTTCGACCTTCCTCCCCTACCGTCCTACACCTTAACCCCGCGAGAGCATTTGCTTGCTCCTCTTCCGGACAATATCCTTTCACTCATATTACCCGTCGTCGCCTACTGGGGTTTGTCCATGATCTATCATTACCTCGATGTCAATGATTATTTTGTCGAATACCGGCTCCACACCCCCGCAGAAGTCCTGAAACGAAACAAAGTGACCCGCTGGGAAGTGGTACGGGATGTTGTCTTGCAGCAGGTCATTCAAACCGTAGCTGGTCTTGCTTTCCTATACTTCGATGCCGAGGAAACTGTGGGTAAAGAGGAATATGATGTGGCCGTGTGGGCGCAGCGATTGCGGATCGCCCAAAAAGCTATCCCATCATTATTAGCACTTGTCGGAGTTGACGCCATCAGTCTTGGAAAAGCTCTATCTCAAAATGGTTATACTATGTTGGCGGGAGCGCTGGCCGGCGGATCATACCCCGGTGTGACCCAGTCCATGATTCTCGACAACGGAGTCGAGGCTGTGGTGCCCGCATTCACGACCTGGGAACTTGCAGTTGCCGGTTTCATATATTGGTACTTCGTCCCGACCCTTCAGTTTATGCTGGCGATCTCCATCGTGGATACTTGGCAGTACTTCCTCCACCGCGCGATGCATCTGAACCGCTGGCTCTATGGTATGTCTTGACGTTTTGAAATTGATGGCTCCAAACTAACCACCTACACCAGTGACTTTCCACTCCCGTCACCACCGTCTTTACGTTCCTTATGCTTTCGGTGCCCTCTACAACCACCCAGTTGAGGGATTCCTTCTGGATACCGCTGGCACTGGTGTTGGATTCTTGGTCTCCGGCATGACCACCCGACAAGCCATGTGGTTCTTTACAATGTCAACTATCAAAACTGTCGACGATCACTGTGGCTATGCCTTTCCCTGGGACCCGCTGCAGCATTTCACTTCCAATAATGCCGCTTACCACGACATTCATCACCAAAGCTGGGGTATCAAGACCAACTTCTCCCAGCCTTTCTTCATCTTCTGGGACCGCCTTCTTGGCACTCAGTGGACTGGTGAAGTCAAGCTGCGCTATGAGCGGGCTCGAGAGAATGCCCAGAAACAGATGGATCTGGATGCTACCCAGGCGCCTGATACAATGCCCGCTTTCACCGTCACAGAGGAACGTGAACATGAGCGGGTAGTGGTATCACCTGAGGGACCTGCAACTCGCACTCGGCTGCGCCGAAAGACTGTCGATAGTCTCAAGGGCCCGAGTCATGGGGTTCCTGGAAGTGTTCTACACAACTAAAGTCGTGATGAAATGAAGCCCGAGCATGTGTTGATTTTTTTATGCATTCCCCAACCCTGTCCCTGGAGCTGCTGGCCGTCTCCGCCAGACTGTGGGACTTTCCGTCATCGTTCTCTCTTTTCTCTCTCTCTTTTTTTTTGTATATGGGATTAATGGCCCAATGTATTAATACACCAGAATGGGCCAGTCAATGTTTTGTACATGGTTCGCTCTATGACCTACTGTCAATAATGTCTATTATTTGCCATTTACATTTTCTTCTGGGTATTCGGTATTGAATTCATTTGCAATAATGGTGGATTGTCCTTAAAAAAAAACCAACTATGGCATGACGTACACTATCAAAGCAACCCAAAGGAACAGAAAGAAGAAAGAAGAAAGAAAGAAAAAAAAAAAACAAAGAGCACCCAGACTAGATTCAAGGGCAAGAGATCAAATCATATTCGACTGTTCACACATCAGATCCCAAGTAGTTCTCGCCGTTGAGCTACTTTCCGGCTTTCTCCGGTCTTCATCTTCATCACTCCACCCACTGTCAGTGGAATAGATTGACGGGGAATGACCCTCTGACGGGACTTTGCTACGCCCGTGTACCGACCATTGGGCGCTTTGCGAGAGATCTGCTTCAATGCCTTTGTACATCTCAAGCAATTCGTCGATCTCCTGCAAAGTTCCAGCGAAAGTGCATGCAGTGCTAGGTGACGGGGGGGGCTTCAGGAGGTCCATAGACAGTCCTCGCACTCGACCTTTCCGTGCTGATCCCTAGGCCTTGACAGTCGGTGAAATCCATGAATCTAGTGACGCGATCTGGATTCGGGTCCGAGCGTCGATCTCGCTCCATGTGGTACGATGTTCTCGAGGCTTTCCTGGACGGGCTCGACGTCGGACAATACATCCTGCGCCCTTCTTTATCAGTGTTAGTACATCGAGATGACAAAGATTTGGGGACATACCTTTCTGCAGGGTGAGGAAATGCGATTGGTGGTGGTGGCTGGGTATACTTCGTCCTTGGGTCATAATCACTAGCTGGTCTCTGGGCACTTTTTCTATTCGTGTCATGATGGGTGTGCCTTCGCCGTGGGGTCCTCGAATCTACATATGCCGGGTTTTTAGACCAGGCCTTGCTGCAGGCCTTGCGAGTATCCTTCAGAATGAAAGCAAACTGACTAGATGTGCCATATAGCTCATCCACTTCATCAGGGAACAAGTCAATGCAGGTATCGACAAACTTCATCAGTCTTCGTGGGGCATGGTTCAGACGAGTCTGCGTGCGAGCGAGCAGAGCTATTCGAAGATTGCGCAATGCATGCTTGTCACTTGCAACCCGAGCCACCATACATCCCTGACAGCGACTGATCTCATAATGCCATGCTTCTGGGACAGCCTGGTCTTTGGGGTCGGGTTCCTCCCACATTCCTCGTATGGCCTTGAGTCTCCCCAGGATCAAGATATCGAGAGGTTTCAGCAAGTCCGGGTACGCATCAAACTTACGGAGGTGGTGACCAACCTCCTTCTGGACAAGATTGAACACATTGGCTATAAGATCTGCGTTCAGACCCTGGTGGGCATCACACAAATCTTTCTTCGTCCTTGACCAGTGATCACGGCGCATACTCTTTGGCAACTCATGGATCATACACTTAACAATCTCTTCAGCGTGTCTTGCTCTTGTAATGTCTATGTGCAGGATCACTGTTAGCTTTTTAAGTTCGTCCCTCCTCAGGTCAGTGACAAACCGGGTGTCCCTTTGTCCTGAGAAAAAGGACATACGACTACCGATTGTGTGTCGTCTGTTTTCGAACCACCCTCCATCCTTTCCCATTGTTCTAGGGGCTATCGTGCTAAGAAGTATTGGGCCGTAGTAGTCCTCTGGTAGGCGTTAGATGATATATGCTTGTCCTGAAAGAACGCTACACGGGGGTTGAAGGTTAGTTTCAAGCTGTACTCGCTTGGAATGGGGTGTAGTCACTGGTCTTCATTCGTATGACAAGCTAACGTACAAAGCACCTGGTTGAGCAGTGTGAGGGGCTTGGGGTTAGCTTCAACAGTCCGATAGAGATGAATATTCCTTCCTCGATAGGATGTTTATATACTCCCAATAAAAGTGATTGTTTTCGACGTGTTACCTTTACAATGTAAGCTCTCCCGAACAATGTCTTTTCAGACCTCAAAGAGAACAAATATATTCTTGCAATCTCCTATTGGTGTTTACTTCTTTCGTGATCGTCAAAGAAATTGTTCCTATAAATAGGTCTATGACTTGCTCATAATGAATTGTACTATCAAAGAACTTATCAATGGTCTTTGTTCTTTTCGTCTCATTCAATATATTAGACTTGCCATGTCTCATCCTCTCTCATCCTTTCGTCTCGCTTCTTTTTTTTCGCATTACCTGTGTGATCGATATCTATCTCCTTATCTCAAAGACTCCTGCGGCCTGCCATGGGAAACAAAGTCTCAGCCATTGACTCCCGAGTCATAAAGAAAAGAAAACAGCGCGTTATGATTCGAGGAATGTTCAATTATCCAAACGGACGAAACATTCGGGAGGAACACCATCCGACTGGAGCCAATCAATGGGTGACTGTCTTCTTCAACTGGGCTGATCACAAGTACAACGACGAAGAGTTGATGGATCTTGTAGTGGCTCGCATCACTGCCAGGAACGGTATCATCTCATCCGAACCCGTCCATCACGACGTCAAATGGTGCCTCTCCCTCCGTGTTCCAGAATACTGGAAGCCTAGCGATGTGTCAATTGCCGCCGCCGCCAAGGTCATTGCACAATGGTATCAAAGTGAAATGCGCCATGCAGGTGTGAAGATCAACCGAAGATATCTTTTTCGTGACTACAATCGAAAGAGACGTCTTGTTCATTAGTATGCTCTTTTCTCATTCCAACGTGATCTTGATTTATATCTAATTGTGCTTTGTCTATTAGAAACTCATACATCGAGGTACTTGTGGACTCACCATTCACCAAATGACTTGAATCAAGATCACCTCTAGAATGAAAATCAAAGTGTTCAATCATCTTACTTCCACAAAGCTCACATTGAGAAAGGGTATAAGTTCATCGGGTAGAAGGTTGATGTATCCTGAGCTCACCCGAGGTCAGCTGGAGAGTATAGGCCAGGTATCACATGACAAGTCCGTATTCCTTCCTCTTCAACGTCACTTCGCTACGTTCCACAATGGCTTGTCCCGGTAAGGAGGGTACTCCGTTGCCCTACACTGCCTCCCCGATCAAGTTACTCTGGAGTGATTTGTCCCTGTTCATCTCGAAGTTATGGGCACTTCCGGGTATCTTCTTGCCCCTGAATATAGGTCGCATGCATGAGTGGAACGAGTTTTATCCTTCATTCCGCAATGGAGCTACCGTGTTAATCCATATATTTCTCGTGGCTTATCAACTTGTTTTCCTGATCTCGCTACCGATCATGGTAGTCTGTATGATTCCAGGTCTATGGGTCCTTGCCTACTCTGTTATTGGGTTCACTATCAATTATGCAATTGTTATGCTGTCGTTGAACGGCTTCCAGCAGGTCCTGGTGTCCCAAGTTCCCGTGGTCGAGCGACCAGGTCATGAGCGGGAGCGTTGGCTGTATATAAATGGAATTGCAGCTGGGTGGGACAGATATCCCCGTGAGGCCCTTTTTCAGTTGCTGACTCAAGCTATACCTGCAGGCATCACTGGGTACAAATGAACATCGATCAACTGTCATACATTTTTGGTCGGAAAGTGACGGGCGTGCACAATCGCACGTAAGTGACCCCTTGTATCTCAAATTCACAACACTGATCAGACTCAGCGCCGGCATTGTCTTCGATCTCATCGAATGTTTGGTTCAACGAGATTTTGCATATGCTACTGGCGATATACGACGAGCGTATGCCTTGGTCAAGGAAGCTCTCTTGGACCCAGAATGTGACAAAGTGCTTCTACTTCTTCACAGTCAAGGCGGTATTGAAGGGGGACTTGTCGTGGACTGGCTTCTGGATGAGCTACCACATGATCTCCTTCATCGCTTGGAGGTATATACGTTCGGGAATGCCGCGAATCATTTTAACAATCCGCGATGGACAAAACCAGCAAGGCCACGAAGAGCCTCAACACCTGATGTAGTGCATCAGTTTGGTCAATCCATTGGCCATATCGAGCATTACGCCAACGCAACTGATATTGTGGCTCTGGGGGGGTGTGCTCCACTTTGTGGACATCCCAAATCGATATATGGGCCGGCTGTTCGTGCGCCCAAATTCAGGCCACCTACTCAACATGCATTACCTGGACAACATGTTCACTCTAGGCCCCGATATGAGAGTCCTTGACTCCAATCCATTCATGGAAATGGAAGTCGAGCCATGGGCAACCGCCGGTATCAATGGATATGATGGCCCTCCACATCGAATCAGGTATCAACCCACGATAGCCCGAGACGAGGCGTTTCTTCCCGCTGCACTGAGCCTGCAACGATCACAAACTAATGGAGTGGGGCAATTACTACGTGTCAAGGACTTCAGTCGACTCTGGCAGTATAGAAATGGAGGACATCCGAAAGACACAGAGACACGACACGATAATGACACCCACGAGCACGTCTATATTTAACTGTAGATCCACCCCTGACATGGGCATGTGATATATCTTTATTTGGCACCACTTGAATGAACCCCGTTACCAACCTGCGAAGCAAAATCAACACTACCCAATTGAGTATATGTGAAGGTCCTCCACGGAGTAAATGATTGCAGATTGGGTGCCCCTTGGTCTTGGCTCTGATATCTTGTATTTAGGGGACCCAGTAAATTTCATCATCAACCGCGCCTCTCCAGGGATGTCCCAGTATGTTATCCGTATCAATTTGTCTAGGTCAAAACGAATATGTCATTATAGTCCTTGCCAGTCTCTGTTGGTCCTGCGGTCACTGCCAAGGGATTCTCAAAGTAGTTACTGGTAAAAGCCTCAATATACCCTTCGGAATTCCGGGTTCTTAGTATTAGGGCTTGCGCCTATCAAGAGTATGTAGTAGGCCTATAACACTGTCTCACATAAGAGTACTCTCATGATCTAGTCATTCCAGACAATCTAAGTGCCTCAGCGCCCCTGGACTCCGCAACATTTTTGATATTACATCATATTCCAGTTGCTGGCCATGTTTCCCAGGTCGAGATCGATGGCCCAAGACATGAGATCAAAATTATCGTAATCGTCCAGATTAATAGCCTCAATCTCCCCAGCTCCGCCACAGAAGGAAATATCCGTGTTAGGGGTCTGAACTGACATCGGGCTCACGTCAGTGCTTATCGTGACATCGGGAGCCTGAGACTTTGATGTCGCAAGCTTGTCCAAGATCTTGTCTAACTTCTCCGTGATAGCTTTTGCAGCCTGCAAGCAGAATTCTTGATTTCTTTCCCGTGAGCTGGCCACACTTTCAAGTTGCGATGCAAGTACGGAGAGATTCCGAATCAAAGCCGACGTCTTTATACCTGGCGGGAGGACTTTTGAGGGACATTGCGTCATATTTTCTAGTGCAGTCGAAAGGATTGCGGCAGAGGGCAGGCCGCTCGCCAAAAGCTTCACCCAGTCAGCTATGCAGAAAAGGAACGAGACTGTAAGGTAGCAGGGTACGTACGATTTCGGGTAGATCATTGAAACTAAATGTACCTTTACTGCGAGAATTTCCCATTTGCACAACGGTCTCCAATATGTTTGCAGACACATCAAGCAGCTCAGGAAGGGGAGACGAGCTATCTTCCCCAAGAAGGTGGTATATCTGGAAATGGATCCGGAGGTAAGCCAAATGAACCTTCGCATGCATATAACAATTGGCAAGAGGCATATCGGATTTCCAACAATCCTGACTATACCTCAGGTGAGGAAGGAGGTTATCCCAAGTCTGACGGCATCGAGAAGACAACTCTCTAATTGGCTGTTAGTGGCCCTCCCACATCGCTTCGATTGATGGTTCATACCTGAGCTGGGCAGGGTCAGCTGCCTGTGGTGCTTGAAAATGATATTCCACGATTCCCTCCCGAAACTGGCCCAGAATATATCGTAGTCGAGCCCAGGTTGCTACCCTAAGTTTTCCATCAGTGTTCCAGCCATCTTCTGTGAGCCGACTTTTGGCTTCTTCTAATTCCCCGGGAGTTTGCGCGAAGATTTCATCATCTGACAAATCGAGGGGGAGTTTGACATCAACATATCGAGAGGTAATGCGAGGAGGTAGATTGAACACCAGGCCGAACATTTTATCGAGATAGTATTCAGTCACAAAGCATCTCCTCCGGCATTCTGCTAGAAAAAATGGCGTTCTCTCAGGGGAATACGTCGCCTCTCTGTCCAAGCCCAGGGCCAATAAATCTGTCGCGAGATCGCCCACCAAACGCCACACACCAAGGCCTGAAATTAGTCAGTACCTCATGGTGAACAAAATTTGCACGATGTGACTCACTCGCGTCTCCTTCAAGGAATGATCTGAGCTGCGCATTTTCATTCGCCAGCCATATTATAACGTCCGTCGACTGAGGTGCAAGATCACGAGCTAGTCGTAAGCTCAACTTACTGCACCAAACCATGTCTTGGACAAATGCACCATCCTTCTCCTCGTCGCGGTTAAAAAAGACCGAAGCACGAGCAGCCATAGTATATAAAAGACCGATGGTTTCGACACGGAGATTCGCGCCACAGAACAAGGCGAAGAAACCATGTAGGTCTAAGGATGGGGTGATGACGACCTCTGTTGAGGAAGAGAGCAGTACAGCTTCTGATATCTCCGAGATATTGGTCAACTCGACTCGGTCTCCCTTTTCTCCCAGAATATGGCCTGCAGATACCAGATCTGTGCGGAGCGTCTTCAGAAGGTGTAGAATGACTGGTTTCGGCAAAAGTGCGTTGTGCTTAGAAGCGTAATATTGATGGAGAGACTTCTCAATGACTGGAAGATATTTCAATTGAGAGACGATCTCCTTCATGGTGGCTAGATGGGCCTTATAGGCTTTGCTGTCGTGCGAGCCCGGTGTTGGTTTCTGTGGGAGCGTATCGCAGACGGTCGACATGAAAGGCCATGTGTGAAACTTAGGCGGTTCAGCCGCAGACCGTCCCAGATTTGGCTGGCAGCTTTTGGCGCTAATCCTGCTCCATGATGGCGTAGCAATGTTTGATCGTAGCGTAGTCACGACCGGTCTTTGTGCACTCCGATTTTTAGTGAGAGGTGCGGGATGGTAATAGCATCGAGAATCGAGCCGACGACGCTGGCAGGAGGCGCAAACTGGTTTGCCATGATCACATCGACTTTTTCTCGCTCGGCAAGGTTCACATGAGGCCAAGGCACGATTGCGCCTGGTTGTGGTTGACATGTTCAAAGACTTGGGCGATGTTACCTGTATATTTCCACGTCACGTTATGAAAGTGTACCTATCCTACTATACTGGTATGGGAGGTGCTTCAGACACGCTTTCCAGGGGTCCACTGGGCTAGAATCGGTCTGCAGATTCAATACTCAAACCATGGTAGTTTCACTAAGAACATTGAGAACGAGTCCTCGCAACCAGAGGCCTATCACTTTACTTTACCCCGATACAAGGCCGGTGACAGAATATGTTCCGGACTTGTATCGGACTTGTAACGTTCATGTCTTGATAGAATCGACCAGATAGTACTCCGTACAGTGTATTTACTGTCAACTCCAATAGGTCCCGATGTCCTCAAAATACTCCGTAGATGTAATCGTGTCAAGCGCTCAACACATTTGATACATGGGGCGTGTGAAGCGCTTGACACGATTGCATACATAAGTAGGCCTCCGGGCTCCAGCTCTAACGCGGACCCCCCCGGGACGGCGGCGGCCCCGGTTGTGCCGAGTAAGCCAATTTTCTGTCAACACCGGGGCTTGGTTGAGCAACAGCTTGTAATACCTGCCGTAGGAATCATAAATAGTAGAGAAAATATGACACACAGGTAATCTGGTGGATGCTTTGGAGCTAGATAGCCAACGACAATTGCTCTATGGTCTGCATACATGACCCTGGATGATTATGTGGCATTTGCATTGGACCATAAGCCAGCCATAGGTAATGTGCTTCCCAACGCATAATTAGAATTTTGAAATTGTACAACCATTTGCTTATATATATAGTCATCAAACTACCAGGTAGAGGCACGATTTGACCTGTACAATGAGATCAATTCCGATGGAGGTCCGTGGTATCAAGGAAGTGTTCCTTTCTCAAGTGCACCAAAAAATCAGGGAGGAAAAAGCAACGCCCATCGCCGTACAATGCAAGTGGAACATGGAACAAGGGACAAGCCAAATCATGCCCTGATCACCTTCCTCTTTTCCTTCTTTTTCTTTTCCGCGCCGGCCCCTGAGGGCTCACCACCCATTCCGCCCATTCCGCCCATTCCACCGAGTCCGCCCAGTCCGCCCAACATATTACTCAGTCCACCCATTCCCCCCATTTGACTCATCATTTCCGACATGTTAGGCATTCCCTCCATACCCTGCATACCCTGCATCTCGGCCATGGCGTCCTTGAGGGGATTGTCACTGACACCACCACCACTGTAGGCAGGCGAATGGATAGGCAGAATCTTTCCGATCTTCCAACCCCGTGGGGCAGCAGGAGCAGGTGGAAGCTTCTCGGGCATGGGCAGGCCACGGATTCGTAGCCGGTAAGGTGATTTTTCGGTAGTAGGGTTAGCCTTCAAGTACTGTGCGACGAGAATATAGAGGTGGTGCTCTAGCAACTAAGGTCAGTCCAAGTCCAACAGAACGAACCATTCACTCCATCACCATTATCAACCACGTACTGTTCTTGATCTTCGGGTTGGCTAATTGACCGTCCGCGTTCTTTACCTGCACACGAACACGACCGGGATTTGCCCAATCCTTAGGGTGCAGTTTCTCAGGCTCCAAGCCCGCATTCAAGCCAAGCATCTGAACGGCATCGACGATATCTCGCGCAAGAGGGTTTTCCACTGCGAGCTCCGCACCGACTTTGCGGCCCTCGGCGCGCGATCGGGTCTTGTCGAAGTACACGGGGTACAAGCATGAGAAGTGTCGGGGAATCTCGCGCTGGGGCTCAGGCACCGGCATGGGTGGCATGGGCATCTGTTGTTGTTGGGTCTGAGGTGCAGCCCTGGTCGGGATATTTACGGGTGAAAGGATGGCATTGCTGGGGAGGTCCTCGTCAGAGTCGTAGGAGGGGGCGATCTCTTCTGGGTCAGAGTCAGAGACTTCCTCGATTTGTGCGCGACGTGACATTGTGGATGGTTAAAGTTGTGGAATGGGTAGATGTCTGGGGAAGGCGGAATTGTGGCCAAGTCAGAGGGGCAGAATGAAATGTGCGGGCGGTGGAACGTGGGGATGTTCAACGTTCAACAGCACGTCAATATAAATAGTATTCAAGTATTAATGATATAGTAAGTTATGTCTACAATTGAGTTATTCATTTTCAGAACACTAGAAATTCCCATTGCGTCAGTTTTTATGGGGAATTTTTTTTCTATCCATCTTATGCTCTGTGTAGCGTCCTAATGAAGAATTCAAATGAACTATAGCCCAGTATACTTGTAGTACGTTTCAACTCTACACATCTATCTTCCCCCAGTATCCTCCTAGGCCCTTTGTCATTGCTATAGGCTAATATCAAGCTCTTAATACACGATATAGAGATAGCTAAACTGGACAGATAGACCCGGCAGATAACCTGGATAGGAAATCAAATCGGACTCCAAAAGTCCGCCCCCCGGACCAATTGAGGTCTCGGCTTCCTTTCTTCGGCATGCCGAACCCACCTAGCCCCGCAAAACATCCCATTGCCTCGGGTGAAACATTCCAATAACGGAGACTCTGCTATATAACGCGTTTCATCTCCCCGACTTATTCTTTCTTTCACATTTCTCTAATCAACCATGACTGGTACGTTGATTGCAAGATCTTGACATGTTCTTGATTCTGATATACTTCCCAGAAACTAAAACTAGTGCCATTCTCCACCGGGACACACGCTTTGTCCCAAAAAAAGCCATTGGTGGCAAAGGATGCTATGTGTTTCTAGAAGATGGGACCAAATTTCTCGATGCTACAGGTGGTGCAGCTGTATCTTGTCTGGGACATGGCAATGAGCAGGTCAACCAGATGATCAAGGATCAGATGGATCAGATATCCTACTGTCATTCTTCCTTCTTCGGCACCCAGGTGGCCGAGGATCTTGCCCAGCTCTTGGTGGACTCCACTGGAGGAAAACTATCTAAGGTCTTTATAGCTAGTTCGGGTAAGTCAAGGCAGCCTTGAGAAGAACCAAAACTTCAATTCTCACGTGCAGTGCTGAAAGAGATACAGGATCTGAGGCTGTTGAGGCTGCAATTAAGCTAGCACGCCAATATTTTTTGGAGCTTCCAACTCCCCAAAGTGAGCGCACCAGGTTCATTGCGCGTCTTCCATCCTACCATGGCACCACGATTGGGGCCCTTTCAGTTGGTGGCCACGTTCAGCGTCGGCAGCCATTCGAGCCACTGCTCTCCAAGAACGTATCGCATGTTTCCCCATGCTATGCATACCGTGGAAAGCGGGATGGCGAGTCTGATGCAGACTATGTGGCACGTCTGGCAGCCGAGCTAGATGCTGAATTCCAACGTGTCGGGCCTGAAACTGTTTGTGCATTTATTGCAGAGCCAGTCGTCGGCGCGGTATGGCTTCCTATCTTGGACTCTACACTACCAGATCATCTAACTCGTACTTTTAGGCTCTCGGTTGTGTTCCCGCAGTGCCAGGGTACTTTCGTGCAATGAAAGCCGTTTGCGAGAAACACGGCGCTCTCTTGATCCTCGACGAGATTATGAGCGGTATGGGCCGCTGTGGAACCTTGCATGTCTGGGAGCAAGAGGGTATTGTTCCCGATATCCAAACTATTGCAAAGGGTCTGGGTGGTGGTTACGCGCCGGTGTCGGCCATCTTGATCAGTGACTCTATTGTGCAGACTATGGACAAAGGCACCGGGCAGTTCCGCCACGGACAGACATATCAAGGCCATCCCATCTCATGTGCTGCTGCGTTAGCTGTGCAAAAGACTATTCAGGAACAATCTCTCCTGGAAAATGTCCGGACCATGGGTGCCTACCTCGAGAAACAGCTGAAGCAGCGATTCGAGAGTCATCCACATGTGGGAGATATTCGTGGGAAAGGATTGTTCTGGGGTGTGAGTCGCATCTTTCCTCTAATTACAGAATCAAAGAAAAAAGGAAAAAAAAAAAAAAAAAAACACGTTACTAACTCTTCCCAGCTTGAATTTGTCAAAGATAAGGCCACGAAAGAGCCATTTGACTCCAAGGATTGCTTGTCCTACAGGATTCAGGAGAGTGGTCTACGACCGGAGCACAGTGTCTCGCTTTATGGCTGTTCTGGTACGGTGGATGGAATTAAAGGAGATCATATCATCCTCGCGCCACCTTATATCGTGTCGAGAGAGGAGATTGATATTATTGTCGACACGCTGGAGAAAGTTCTGAGAGAGGTTTTTGCCCCTCTATAGAGCGCCCTTTATCATTACTCCAAGTGTCCGCTTTTATAGCCTCGGAATGAGCAATTTTTTAGTTGATTTCATTTTACTAAAAACAGCGCTCCGGTAAAGAATGTTAGATGATGAGGCAGATGTAGAAACGTCAGATCATGTGAATGCTGGGATATTTCATTATTATACAAATTCATGAGAGATCAAGCCTGTGCCTCAATGGCAGCCGCTTTCTTCCTATCAGCCAGCTCAATTCCCTTCGGCCCTTTAGCAGAGCCACTAAACGCCGCGTCTTGATGAATTGAGCTCTCCGCCCACAGGCCAGCGACAGTTTCAATGGCCCGTTCAACGACTACACGAATGCGGTCTCGCAGGACATGGTTGGTACACTCGACATCTAGATCCTCAAGCCACACGCGAGCAATATGCTTGTCCACCCTGATCTCAATACCAGGGACGGGAATACCCATTGTGATAAGACGATCCAGCTCTGCAGCCTCAATGTCGGCAATTCGTTCTTCGTTCGTCTCTTCGCCATCTTCTTGTGGACCGAGTGCGAGATCAGCTGGGATCCGTGGGCGCTCAATGGGCCCAATGTTGTCGGCGCCGAATTGGGCCTCCAGCATCATTAGCATACGAGCAAGCCGTTCTTGCGGCCCAGATTGAGCATGGGGGTTGTGAGGAAGTGAGGGGACTTCCATTCCGTCATCGTCATGGTGATGGTGGTGGTGCTTATTTTTGGCGGATTCTGGAATTGTATAAGTCAGCATAGGTAAAGACCTGAGAATGGGTCAGGATTCATACGCTTTACGGAGGCCGGGCTGCTTTCAACTGTGAGCAGAACAGCCATAACTGCATCTGCAACTCCGTCGTTCATCATATTACCTTCCCATTCCAATTCAACCTCACGGGTGCGTGAGTGATGGCGGAGATACACACAACCCATGACAAGGAATGTCTGTGTTTCGTCCGATGGAATCTCCTCGTCAGCATCTTCTTGCTTTGGGGTGTCGTCCGTATCCATGTCTTTTTTGCCATTGGCCTCAGTCTTCTTGCTACTATTTCCAATTTCTTCAATAGCTCCGAAAGTTCCTTCGAGACTCCATCTGATCAAGTCCATGCTCGCGGAGCTGAGAGTGATATGCTGTTTGCAAGTAATGGTCGTAGTTGTCAAGCCCGCGTACTCCTGTAGGTCGTCAGGAGCCATCAACGACAAGTTGAACCCATTTTGAACCAGGACTCCAGCCATAAGCTGGGCATCATCGTTCTCCGATGGAGGCGCAAGCTCTGCGAGCTTGCCGACGACCTTGGCGATCTTGTCTTTCTTGAAAGGAATGCGAACTTCATCGCAGTTTGCTGGGGTGTAAACTTTGACTTTCACGGCTTTGTCTGCGTTAAGGCTGAGCAGTTTCGATTTCAGCCTCATCATCTGATGTTTTTCGCCGTGAACGAGGATCTTTCCGGAGTCAGTAGAATTTCAAATACACTGGTGTATCATACTTACCACAACTGGTGCTCCTACTTCCTCGATGAAAGTACGATTTTCCACACCATCGACGTGGGCTGCAAAGCTGACCTCGTCAACAGTGCAACGACGAGGAATCATAACTTTCTGATCTTCATCATTCACTCCGGGAACACGACCACGACCGTGCCCGGTGGAAACCTTGGACATGACAGCCGGGATCTGATCAGGTTCATTAAGCAATCCCTTAGCCATGGTTCCTTCAACGCTGTAGCCGGTCATGACAACGCCGTTGCGATCACTCGGTGCCCATCTTTCCAGGAGCTCACGACTTGTGCCCGTCTGCAACATACCGGGAGAGGCGAGCATGACACATCCTCCAACATCGTCAAACCGCTCTAAGCTGCGGAGACTTCGAACGAATCGGAAATCCCATGGTCCAACACTTACGCTCTTGTTGCCGCTGGCCTCGGCCTCGGCCATGCGTTGCCGGAAGAGTCGCTTTATATTATCGTTCATGGCACCAATATATGTTTGGTATACAACCATGCATCGTCGTGCCATATTTCCGATGTAGTAGATTGGAAATTTCTGGAGTTCGGGATGGGTTTCCCAATATTCATCAAGGATAAGAAGCAGCTCTTGAGCACGTCCGAGAGCAAATACAGGCATAAGAACTCGACCTCCACGATTGAGAACGCCCGTGATTGACTTCATCAAGGCGGCTTCACGTTCCAATCGGGGGGGATTAGATGAAATGCCGAATGTAGATTCTGTGATAAGAACATCGATCTTCGTGCCCTTGGGCACTGCAGCGGGAATCAAGTGTCTGTCTTCCTCGCGGGAGTAGTCTAGTTGGGTGATCAGCAATTTGTTTGACAATGTTGTAGATTTTAACAGGTATGAAAAAATTACCTCCTGTGAATAAAGTCACCAGCCCTGCAATATCAACTTTAAACATGGCAGCACCGAGAACATGTCCGGCAGGATACGGGGTAATACGGATGCCATTGATCGTATGTGTTGTGTAAAAGTCGATGGTTTCAATCATGGGCAGTGTTGACAGATGATCACGCTCGGTGTATAACGTGGTGCGTTGATCGGAGGAAGAGGATGTGTTGCTGACTCGAACATTGTCCTGAATGAGCCATTTGTAGATTGCTCGGGTTGCCGGGGTCATGAAGACTCTTCCTTTGAAGTTTGTCTTGCTAAGAACATATGGGAGGGCGGAAGAATGGTCAACGTGGAAACTATACAGATCAGACTGTTAGTCAACTGCGAAAACAATGAACGCGTTGAGCGAATGCTCAAATTCAAGGACGCAAGAGGGTACAGCGATAGAAGAGATATATGTGTGACATTGAATTGTATTGGGATTTCTCATATATATGCAGGGGAATGTGTTCCATTGAGGCAGCTGGGGCAATAGACCGGCCAAATAACCGAACCTCATGTGGGCAAGTGTAGAATGCTCTTTCGTGCTTGCCATTCCGTATATTAAGTAAATAAGAGAGATGCACATACTGACTGATTAAAAGAACATCGACTGTGCTCAGATCGAACTCATCAAAGAAAGGGAGTGCAGAGAAGCCTTCTTTTGCCGGGTGCATGCCCGCGTCAAGCTACAGAAGCCAAGGACGTCAGTATTTGCGACTTCATGTCTCCTTCCACCAGAGGCTTACCATCACTGTCTTGCCTTTATATTCCAGGATGTGGCAACTCCGTCCAACTTCATTGCCGCCACCGAGACAGTAGAATGCCAGTTCGTCTGATGGGTCAACAGGCTCATCGTCAACGGCCGTTCCCATGGAGGAAGCTTTGCGCTTGGATGCCATGGTGTCAAGAGTTAATTGAATAAGGTGTCAGGAGATTGACAAGTTTGTTAGTATGAGTTTGAGAAGCCTAGCTAAAGGGCACTAGTACCCGCGTCGCACGGTAAAGCTCAGGATATCAATGTGAGCTTTGCGCAACATCCATGACTTGCGCGATAAGGGCTATAAGAGGTGCAGCTGCTCAGTTTTTGAAGTAGATCTCAATTCACCCGTAAGGACTGTGATTCAATAGAACAGTGATCTCCTTCGCGCAGTGGACGAAACCTCACTTGAATACCCGCAGATTTGGAGAGCTTAGTCAAGCTTGGTCACGTGCGTCGCGATCCGCGGAGCAGAGTTCGACCACCTAGAAAGCTCCTTACCACATCACGAATCTCTGTCTTCCCGATCACTGTTATTTTTGCGCTCGAGTCAACTTTTTTACGATTCACGTGTCGCATATATGGTTGGAATTCAATATTGAGATGGTCAAAGGTGGTGGAAGCTGGTGGTGCGAGCAATCCGCTCAATTTAACGGCCACGCGTGGACCTCGATTCATCTGCAAGGCTACGACGGCTCGGCGCAATAGCCTTTATCTCATCTCAAATCCAATTTGGCTCTCACTGGGTACTCACACGTCACAATGGCACAAGCTCGGCATCCACAACAGCAGGCACCCCCACCGCCGCAGTTTTCCTCTCAACCTTTCTCCCCACCTGTCTCGTCCCCATCCCCAAATTCGGTAGCATCTCCTGTGAATGGAGGTGCTGCACCCCCTCCATCCAAGCGACCTCGCCTCTCTCCTCTGCCGCCTTCTCAAACGCAGTCTCCTTTTGGTTCTCCGAACTTCAACGCGGTACAACTACCTCAAAATCCATCCCCAATGAACGGAACGCCGATGAATATGAGCATGAATGTGAACATGTCTTCGACATCTGCCCCTGCTCCTCCCGGGACTATGGGTCCTCCTTCTCGCCCAGCGGACAAAACCACGGATGCTGCTGAGCTGACAGACGTTCTAGCGTCATCTGGAATTGATGTGAGGGAAGAGGAAGCATTTCTCACACAGAGCTTTTCAGGGCAGAATGCGCAGGCGCAGCCTCCCCATCGAGGACCACAGTCACAATACCCGCCACCTATCAACACCTCCTTCACGTCTCAAGGCTCCACCCCGGGAACGCCCTCGGCTTCCACTAGCTTCGGTGATTTGCCTCAGATCAAACCGGCGATCACACACGACTCGTTCACCGGCCAATCTTCCCAGGCACACGTTCCCTTCAAAGATCCCAACGAGCCGACTCGGGAGGACACCATTGCAGCAAGGCGAGCACAGTATCACATTCAAGAACCATTCTTGATCACGAAACTCCTCGAGCAGAAGCTCCAGAAGCGAGGCTTTGACCTTGGTGTTCGAATCCCCTCGGAGGGCCTCTTCCATCCTGTACCTGGCCGACCACAGCCGATTGAAGTAACTGGTCCGGATGGCTCCTCTGTGGTCCGTACCGGTCAGACTATTCTCAACCAGGAAGGCGCTCCCCTCGTGGACATACTAAATCTTCTATCTATCTCCACCGAGGAGCGATTTAGGGGCGTCATCGACTACGCCTCGACTCTTGCTCGAAGTCGCCGAGCCCATTCCCATGGCGTAGTTCCCAATGAGTGGAAAGATGTCGCGAAACCTCTTGTGCAGGCTACGGGAAGCACTCAAACCCCTGTGAAACGTACGTCCTTTCTCATACCCTAT